CCCCCCCCCCCCCCCCCCCCCCCCCCCCCCCCCCCCCCCCCCCCCCCCCCCCCCCCCCCACTGGACCCCGCACTCCCTCACCCCCCGCACTTCCTGCACCCCGCACTTCCCATCCCCAGACCCCGCGCCCCTCGTACTCCCGCACCCCGCACTCCTGTACCCTGCCCCCTCCACTGCCCCCCGCACACTCGCACCCCCCGCACTCCCGCACACTGCACCTCCCGCATCCCCCGCACTCCACTCCGTTCCCCGCACGGAGCCGGGCCCGGGCCCGCCTCTGGCTCCGGCCGCCCGTGGGAAGGACGCGCGGGGAGGCTGCGGGGCGCCCAGGGGATGTGAATCCTCCGCCCGCACCGGGGAAGGGAGCGATGGAGAGATGGGGTGGGACCCCCTCTCCGGGCCCTGGGCACTCGGCAGGGACGGACCTGGCCGCCCCCACCCCCCAGGACCGGCTGCACCCCCGCTCGTCCCCCCGCTCCGGGGCCGTGCGGGGAGCGGCGGGACCCTGCGGGCGCACCCGCTGTCCCGCAAAGGAGGCTCCAGCTCCTCGGAGGGGCTCCGGACCGGCTCCTCGGAGGGACCCTGAGGGATCCTGTCATCGTGTTTTTGTTTTCAGAAAAACATTATCAGCAGAACAATTCCCGCACCACACCCCTGTTATCATTTAGGTAACCTCCCTGTTAGAAATATTTGAAGTGGATAATAAAATAGTCACCATATCCGTGTAAATTCCCGCAACGAGGAGACGGGATCCTCCTCTCTGCCGGGCCGGTCCCCCTCCCCGCGGAGCGCCCGCACCCCCCGCTCTGCCCCCACCGTGGGCTCGGGCCGCGGACACCCGACGTGAACCCACGGCCACGGGGGCCCGGCGGGACCGAGCCCTGCCTCTGTCACTGGAAGGATCAGTCACAAAACCAGCGGGGAGGGCACTGCGGGCACACGGGGCTCGCTCTTGCCCGCCGGAGGCCGCACCTGCCGGTGCCGCCTCTCCCCGCGGTGCGGGACGGGGCGGTGCTGCGGGGATGCTCGGCCGCCCGGGGCTCACCCGGCGCGGGGCCGGGGAGGCTGCGGGGAGGCAGAGCGAGGGGAGGAGCGTCGGGGCACACGCATAAAACCGGTCCCAGGTGCTCGGCGGCCCCGGCGAGCGGGCGGCGAGCGCGGAGTCAAAGCTTTGGCCGCGGTGCGGGCGCGGAGCGGCGCGGGGTGCGGGGTGCGGGCCGAGCCGGGCGCGGCGGCCCCAATGCCGCCCGGCGGGCCGGGGCCAGCCCCGGGGGCGCCCCCCGATGACACCCCCCGGAGCCCCCGCCGCGTTCCCCCGGGCCATGCCCGCAGGAGGAGGATCGCCCTGAGCCTCCCTGCAGGCAGGTGATCCGTCTGCCATTCCTGGTTCCCCTTCTTCCCACCTCCCCGCCTTTCTTCCCCCCCACCCCGGCTGGACAACTCCCTCCTGAGGAGAACACGCCCAAGTAGCTGAAAAAGAGAGAAAGAGAGGGTGAAAAAAAAAGGGAGGGGGGGAGAAGAGAGAAGAGAGTGAGAGAATTCCCACTGAAGGTGGGGACGCGGCCGGCGCTCGCAGGACCCCGCAGCCCATCCCGCACACCGCGCTCCTGTGCCAGCAGCGCAGCCGGCGCGGGGCTGGGAGCGGGGGAGCCCCGGCGGGGCCATGGTGAGAGGCGGCGGGGGCTCGGCGCGGAGCGGCGGGCGGTGCGGGGCGCGGCGGGGGCTGCCCCGCTCGGCCGGGCGGCCGTGACCGCGGCACCGCCAGCGACGGACCGGCACGGCACGGCACGGAACGGCCCCGAGCGCGCCGGGCATCGTTTCGCGTGTTGGTCTGAGCCACGGCAAGCAAGGAATATGAACAGGAAAACAAGGCGCTGGATCTTCCACATCTTCCTGAGCCTGGGGATTGTGTATATCAAGATTGGGTGAGTAACTTTTTTTTTTCCTTCCCTCTTTCTTTTATAACAATCGCGCTCTCACTCGCGCTCAGCCCAACCTGTCCAGACCTGTTACTATTTAACTCGGGAAGTCTCAAAAAAAAAAAAAAAAAGTGATGATTGTGGTGATCACGATTATTTCTCGAAAGACAGGTAAAGCCCGCGCATCTCGGGGCGAGGTGGCGGCCCCGGCCATGTGCGGGGCTGCGAGGGGCCGGGCGGCGGTCCCTGCCGGGGGTACACCCGGGGGGATGCCCGGGCAGCCGGCCTTTCCCCGCCCCGGCCGGCTGTCCCCGGGGCTCGATGTCCCTGCCGGGTACCTGCCCCGTACCTGCCGGGTACCTGCCCCCGCCGGGGTACATCCCTCGGCGGACCCGCCTCCTCCCGCACCGAGCGGGGCGCAGGGAGGGTGGCGGCGCTTCGGTCCCGCAGCATCCCCGGCCCGTCCAGGTGCGCTCGGTGCGGGAGAAGGCGGCGCGGCCCGCGGGCAGGGTTGTCCGCCTTCCCTCCCTCCCTCCTCTAACTGTTGGACAGGTTTGGGAAAACCCTCCCAGCCCGTTGTCTGTGCGTGGCCCGGGCACGCAACGCCGCTGCATGCGCTTTAATTCAGCAACGAGGAAGTTTGGTCCCGTTTTGGCAGGAGCCCGCGCTCTCCTTATCTGTGCCTTGGCTTGGAGAGAGGGAGAGGGAAGCGACAGGGGGAAAGGCGGGTGTTTTCCGGGGGCACCTGCCAAAGCCGGGCCCTGCAGCTCGGGAAAGCGGCGGGGTGCTGCGTCTGCCGCCGGTACGAGCCTCCCCTCAGCCGGCTCTGGTGTCCTGTCGTTGCAGGGGTTTTTCCTCGGTGGTGGCTCTGGGAGCGAGCATCATCTGTAACAAGATCCCGGGGCTCGCCCCCCGGCAGCGGGCGATCTGCCAGAGCAGGCCCGACGCGATCATCGTCATCGGGGAGGGGTCCCAAATGGGCATCAACGAGTGCCAGTTCCAGTTCCGCAACGGGCGCTGGAACTGCTCTGCCCTGGGAGAGAGGACCGTCTTCGGGAAGGAGCTCAAAGTGGGTACGTTGGCTCTCTGCTTGTCATCGCCGGGCTGCCACCCGCAGGACACCGAAAGTGGGCACCGGGGGTGTGAGGCGGGGGTGTCACAGGGCACGGCTGTTGGTTTGGGAAAGATCAGCTGGATCACACAGCTTGTGCCAGGGCAGGACCGGCACCTGGGCTGTGGCTGTTGTCACCAATGTGACTGACATCCCTGCTGCCTCCAGGCAGGGCACCTGCCTGTGGTTCACTTCCACCATGGGATTGCACTGTCTTGCTCTCACAAGTCCTTTCCAAAAGGTTTTGCATTTGTGGGCATGGGACAGCTGCCTTATTCATGTACTTAGGGATGGATAAAAGGTTCTGGTTGAAGGCAGTGCTCAGAATGCTGAGCAGAGCTGGAATTACACTTCTGGGGTGCAGGCACCTGCACAGCGACACTGACCTGATGTTTGTAGCCGGTGGGACTAAGGTGCAACCACCAGTGTCATTGTGAGGGATTCCCACCACACAAAATAGTTATCCCATAGCAGCTGTATCCAGTGCCCTCTTTCCCAGCAGAAAGAGCAGGTGTGTTCTGGCTTGAGATGTCAGGGCTTTTGCAAACACTTCTAATCAACAGGCAGAAGATCCCATCTCCAGTTTCTGTGTTTTCATGTACTGCAGCAGTACAAAATATATCAAAATTCTTAACTGAACCAGCATTAATAATGAAAACCACAATACACAGGTGTAGTTAAAACTCTCATACCCCCGTTCTGCAAAACACATAGTGGTGGAGTTTACTTGGGGGTTTTTTTGATTCCACAGCACTTAAAATACAAAGACTGAGGAAGTGTTTCCCAAATACAGGTTAGTCATTTCTAAAGCCACCATTGAAAGCTAATCACTCACAGCACCACATTCTGCATCCAGAAGTTGAAGTTGGGCTTTATGGTTTCCAGTCTTGAGGCCTCCTGGTCTCTTCCCCATCTACAATGTAGTTGCATAAAACCAGAAACCCCATTTAACAATGCTCAGAGTGATAGAAAACATGGCTATTTGATGAGAGTGGAAGAAGGGACTGAGAACAGAAGCAAGAAGAGTCCTGAGCAGCTGTGGGGAAACCCTCTGGACTGGCCCCAGGCACTGTTTGATCATGTGGCAGGATATGTCCCTAGTACCTCATTCCTTGCATTCCCGTGAAATGCAGAGGTACAGCCTTGCCACTCTGCTCTGGAACTCCTGAGGACACTGAATGTGTATTTTATCACATCAGTGCACACTGATATGTATATTTTCCAGAACTTGGTGATATTTAGGGAAAGAAACAGAAAGGGAGCAACATGGCTGTGTTTGAAATCCCCACCTTTCAACATCTTTGATAATAAGAATGACTCAAGTAGAGAAGGTAAAAAGCCCCCTGCACAACATTGTGAAACATCTGAAAAAGGACCATTTATTGAGATTAGCTCATTGTTTCTGTTCCTTGAGCTGAGCTCTTCCTGTCAGTGATGTATGCAGGTGTTTGCCACTTAGTGGCATGTCAGTAAAGAGTCCATTTGGATGGCTGACAGGTTTGGGCTCATTTAGTCTAAGAGTAACATTTCCTTAAACAGAAAATGTGAGAAGGATTTTTTTTCTTCTCCAACAAATCAGAAAACTGTGGAGTTATTGTGGTCTGTTGTATAAACATGCTCTCAGTTCCCTTCCTCCGTCCGAAAATTGAATTATTTAGCTAGTGGGTTATATTTAGGTCCTTTTAAAGAAAGTCAATATTAAAGGAAGTAGACTTTGATCTGTTTTTGAGGTGATAACTCTTAATATGTTCTATCTATCCATTATGAGCTAAGATGGATAGGGCAAATTCCTCGTTGGTTTCAGAACACAGTCAAGAGTTGAATGGCATCCAAATTACAAAACTCATTTAAAGAATACCCAAACCATTCAAATTTAAACAGGTTATATATTTAAATTTTAAAGTAAACTTTTATAAAAATCACAGAGGTTTAAAATCCAGTGGTGAATTTTATTTGTGCACAGGCATTCCTGGGGTCTCAAGGGTAAAAGTACTCAGGCTCTCAAACACCACGAAATATTATAGTGGAACCACTCCTGCTCAGGTTATCTCCTTGTTCTTCTGCTTCTTCCCTATCAGCAGGTATAGAAACCTTGAATGTCTGACATAGCTCATCTTTCTATGGCTACAAGGAAAAAGCATTTTCCTTACTAGTCTTTCTTTCCCTTGGATCTCTGTCAGGGTGTGCTCTAGGTTACAGAGTATATTCCAGAGAAATAATATCTCACTCCGGTTATAAAGGATAAAACCTGTGTGCCATAAAGCCATAAGTCAAATTTGATGGCCACAAATAGGAGGAGTTCAGGCCTGAGTGCCTCACCCAAAATAGTAAAGAGATGTGTGACATGAAGGACCATATACCCTGTAGGAGCTGTTTCAAGGTGGCTCTGCACAAGAACAGTCCAGGAAACCATTAGGCAAAGATGCTGTGCCCTTGTTGCTTTTTTAATTAGAGGGTATTACAAAACATTATTTCAACGGCAACTAAACATTAGCACCTTTTCTAGCATTCAACAACTGGTTGTGTTTTTCAGGCAGTTGCATCCTCAGAGTTGTTACCTGGGAAGTACGTGGGGCACCTTTGTCTTACCACTTGCAATAAAGTCAGTGAGCCACACATGAGCTCATTCCTCCCTCCCTGCCTCTGGAGTGGCACTGATGGACTCTCTCTGTGATTAGGAGATGACTTCAGAATGACAGAAATGTGGCTCAGCCGGGCACGTGCAGCGAGCAGAGGCTGAGATCAATTTAGGAGGATGTGCCTAAGTAACTCTTATGCTAATGGGATTTGTGTGTGTCAGTCCATACAAATAAGTTCCCTTGGATACCACAGATTCTGTGAACTATTTCCCAGCCACAATTTTGATGACACAGCAAGCCCAAATCTCTTCAAACCCATGTTTCTTTAGCCTTCCTGGGTAACCTGTTTTATGAATGTTATATAAATGTACCCAAATTATCTCAATTCTCTTGTTGCCACTCAGGGTGATTCAGGAGGTGTGAGTTCTCCTCATGGCCCTACCGCTGTGTGGCTGATCGTGCCACTCTGCTCTGTGTTCCTTTTTCCCTGTTTTTAAAACGGCAACACAGCTGACACACTTGGAAATCAGTAGAAAGAGACCATCAAACATTCTCCTGTTCTGATCTGTAGCACGTGTGTTTTTAAAAATTACATATAATCAATCCAGCAGTGGTAGTGTATTTGTAGAGTTATAGGAAGCAACCATTTAAACTCATCCGTGCATCATAAGGCCTATTTGTGATCACAGGCTTGAGTTTCCAGCTCGTCAGAGCCGTGCTTCATTTTGTCTAGTTTGTCCTTCAAAAGAGAGATTCTTCCCTGCTGCCATTCTGTGGATATCTTATCATGACAGCTGGTGACAATAGTGCCAATAACACGGAGAGAAATAACAGCAAAAGTGACTCCAGTTTGCTCCAGCTGAGGACTTGGAAATGAGAAAGTCACAATCAAGATCCACACAAGGATGTTTTTTCTAGACAATTCCGTAGACGCCTTATTAATAATGTAAAGTCACAAAGAGAATTTTTAAAATAACCATGGAGATGATGCAACACTGCAATTCTGGACACACTTAACAACAAATACATTTGTTACAGTGGTCAGCAGTTCTGTTCCTGGAGACGTCCACAGTCCAAACCACGCTTTAAAGCACAATAGGCCAAAAGCCTCCTGCCCACCTCTCTTCAGGTGAAATGTGGTTCAAGCCTAAAGATCTGAACAACCAGTGGAGCCTTTGATAGAATCTGAAAATCAGATTTGGGCTCTGATGATCACAGAAGGAGCAAGTGCTGCGGCGAAGGCTTTTCATCAGGTGCCTCAGTGGCCCTTTTTGCAACCTTGTGAAGAGGTGGTGAACAGTAACTTTGCTGTTTGTGACAGTAACTGTCTCAAATAACTGCCTTGGGATGTGCCTATATTTCATGGGATCTGGAGGACAGCACTGTATTGGCATCATAGGGCAGAAATCAAAACCCTAAGGGAGCAGCCCTGCCACTACTAAATGAGCTTTCCCAAGTGAAAACAGCACAAACTGTTTGCATCTTGACAAAGCGACACAGCAAAGGGGAAACTCACTTCAGGGCAGATCTGTGGGATCTGCACTACAGCCCTGCAGAGGCTGCCCTGGCCCCTGCGTGGGGGAGGATGGAGGAGGGCAGGGGCTGTGGAGATGTGGTGGCCTGCAAAGGATGTTACAGCAAAACTGGTCTTACCCAAAGGTGTCAGTTCTTTGCTTTCTTTTGCACTGGAAAATGGTTCAGTATCATCAGCTGATGTTACTCATGGGAATAAGGAAAGCTGAAATCAAACCAAGAATCCACATGGACAAACTAGTCTTGAAACTTCCGAGCCCAGCTGGGCAGCTCAGCCCCTCTGCACATTGTGCCCAATGCCTTTGGCTCGGGGGTCATTCCAGGTGCATCCAGATGCAACATTAAACCAGGAGAGGCTGTTGGCTTTCCTTGATACACTGCACTGTATTTATTTATTCCATTTATTAGAACCAACTTCTCTTCTATGGCTTGAACAACGCAAAGGAAGAGGGGACATTCCCACTGCTGCCTGTTGAAGCAAATGACAACTGTCTCACAAGCCAAATCCTTAACTAGCTTGTGCAGTAGCTGTCAGGAATAGCTCTTGCTGGTATGGGAAAGAGAACAAGATCCAGGACATTCTCCTCTCTGGCCTGGTAGATTTAATAGAAAAAAAAATAGAAAAGGTGAGAGTAAAACTTCATGTTGCCTCTGTGTTATAGACAAACACTTTTGAAAACATCCCAGTACAGGTGGGTTCAAGAAAGGATTTAACCTTCGATCATTTTTTCAGAGCTTTTTGATTTTGAAAACTGCTGTAGTCTCGTGTGTCAGGTTTTAAAGTCTGATTCTTTGAATTACAAAAGAAGAGACCAAGTAAACAAGCACTGGTAGAATCATGGAGTATCCT